GAATTAAGAAAAGCCAAGGAAACTGTTAACGAAAATCGTAACTCGTTTCTTTTGTTTTCTAATTTAAATAATTATTGTTATTTTTTATATTTTGTTCAAGGCTCAAATAGTCTGTAGAATACCAGTTCAAGGTGCAGTCTTGCATATGCTAAACTGGTGCCCATTTTGGCGCAGACTTTCACCGGTATGGCCTGGTACCTTTGTACTGGTTGGTATCTTTTGTTTTAAGTGTATGAAATAAACATTTATTTTTGTTTATTTAACGTATCGACAGTTTGTTTCATACGAATAAGATTCATAAAATAATATATTCTAGGCGTAGTGCAGTTTACAATCACTTACCGCTACACTAGAAATAGTTCAGCTATTCAGACGCTTGTTAGCACGCATTCTAAGACAGTTAATAGGTTAACACAGATTCAATGCCAGTCCGCAAGGATTTGCATAAACACGCTTCATAAAAACATGTTGTTTGTTTTCAATTCTTATTAACTACTGTCTAGTTTCTGGAAAATATTTAGTGCCAAATACACGATGTATGAGATTAGTTCTGTTGAATTTCTATCAGTGCCGTGCTGGCCTGGAGGTTTAGACCGCCTATTTCTCATACCAAAAGATTCGAAATCTGACAATTACTTATATGAGTTTTTCCGAGTTATATGTAGTTTCTAAGATAATATAAAAATTATCTTTGATATGAATTGTAAAATTAAACTAATACAAAAGTTGTCTTTGTACAAACAATACATAATAATAACATACAAACTTACAAACATACACACTAACCAATTTTACGTCTTTATAATATTAGTATAGATACAAGTGCAATTTATAAATTGAAATGTGCGTTTTGTTAAAGTGAAAAATGTAAAGAAATATTGGCAAGAAAGAGGTTCAAACTCTCTGCGGCACTCAAAATTTTTCAAATACTTTTCCTAAACTTAAAGAACAGCTTGCATTTCCTTCTTATTTTTTTCTTTTAACTTTTTATTTCAAAATTGTTTTCCCTTTCTCTTAAACTTGACGGTTTCCAAGTTATGATTTGTGTCAAGAAAAACTTCAGACTTGTCGACTTATTAAAAAAAACTTTTTTATTTACGGCCCGTAGTCGTCAGTACAATTTGGACTTTGAATTGTTTTTTGAAGTTGTTGCGTTGTTTGCGTATAATGCAGTTATGTTAATTTTTGGATAAGAAATTAAGAATGTAGTTATCTGTTTTGGTTACAAACATGAGAAATGTTTATAAATATCAATCACTATATCGCTTAAAAAAATCGCATTCAAAATCCGTCGCGTTGTTTGAAAGATTTTAGCATATGTATTATAGGGACTACTATATATAGTGAATACATATAGACACGCCAACTTAAACTAAAAAGGGTTAGTGGCCGTCTTAGCTTCAAATATAGCGTTTATTTTCTGCTTAATCAGTCTGTTCCATCAATCATCGTTGACTTCCATTTTGATATCATTATCGACGAATATGATGACGAGTCACGATCCTTTGAAAACTTATATTAAATAAATGAGGTTTATACAAAGATATTTTTAGGATACAATGCAAAAGTCCTTTGTTTAAGATTGTTTGAAGAATATAGTGTATATACTTGCATAGTTTAACATAGCAATAACTTTGAACTTTAATATATAACAATGCTGATGCTACAATGGGCTTCGTCTGTTTCGCATACGGCCTACGGCTGTTAATTGACACTTTTTCTATCACAGAATCTTTCTCTTGTACCTTTGTAATAAAGAGAAAAAAGTAGGCTCGTTTTGACGGGACAGTGAAAGGAAAATATTGTGTTCTCTTTTTGCATATAAACTTGACATTTCTATAAATTGATTACCATTTTTGTAACAAAAAATAACATAACTGGCATGTCAATAACGTCACATCTGATATCTATACTAATATTATAAAGAGGTAACATTTGTAAGTTTGTGTGTAGGGGGTAATCTTTGGAACCACTGGTCGGATTCCCAAAATTCTTTCACTTATCAATAGCTACAATGTTCCCGAGTGCTATAGGCTATAAAACATTACGCTACAATCAAATGGAGCTGAGCAGCGAGTGAAACCGGTAGTGACAAATATGAAGGCTAGAAATAGGTCTTGTCTTTTAGCTTATAGGAAACTAGAGAGTAACCAACCTGCGATATAAGTAAAAAAACCTACTTTTCTAAGAAAATTTCCAAGTAGACAATTTGCATAATTGAAATTGTGCGCAAATTTCAAATTTGGAAAACAGTGTAGGTATGTTACTCTTTTCGAAAGGACATGGCCAACTGTTGTATGGGCGTTTGCATAGTTATTGAATTCAATGTATATCAATGATTTTTGGTGTTTACATTCGTGAATATTATTAAATTAAATTGCAAAAAATAAAACACATGAGGAACTCGTAATTATAACAAACAAGACGAAAATAGTTTCACTAAACCTTTACACCCAGTTTCTGAAAGGCTTGTCAATTCTTTGATCAACTAACACTGCGATTAATTTGACATGACTGTCAAATCAATTTGAGTTTCTGAAACGTTGATCAAGGCATAATTAACTAATCTATGATTATTTTGATTTGACATGCGATTTATTTTTAGTCATAGCCACACTGCTCTTTTTTGTTCAATAGTTCATTCTTAACTGTCAAATATGTTAATATTAAAAAGATTACGGACTGTCATTGATGTCAAACAATTCTGCGAAATTTAAATATCAAGTTACAATTTCAATAAAATGCTAACTAAACTTCCTTAAAATGGCATAACGAGGGAATAATTTCATCGAAAGGGAAAGGCATGTTCTTTTAGAACTAGTTCAGAAGTAAGTCAAAGTTTAAACCTGTTTAAACATATATTTATTACCTATTGCGTTTTATAAACCTCTTGTTGTTAAAAAATATTAAATATCTTTGTTTATACTTCACATCCTGCGCTGCAGCCAAGACTGATGTATAATACGCACAATGTTTTATTACAGATACAAGCACATAATTGATAATCAGTTCACAAATACTATATCTAGTACTAATAAAAATTTAGGTCGGGAAACCATAATGAATGAATTCAAAAGTAATGCAGAAGTGTCTTGAAGCCAAAAACAGTAATCACAACCCATGGGAATTAAAAAGAACTACGAGACAGAATAAAAATGTAAGTTTTTAATCTTAAAATACTTTTTTAGTGCCCACACTAGCTAGTCAGAATATTGTAACCGTTACCAGATTATGATATATTAAATACCTGTCCTGATTTCTTAACTAAGTACCTAATAATGTATTAAGAATAATTATTGCAACTTTAATGAAATTTATTTACAGGTAATTTAACTTGCACATCAAGGAAACAATTTAAATATGAGAGGCAGACACTCAGAAACAAAATAATAAGAAGTATAATGAAATAAAGATGGAGTATGTAAATAAAAAAAGAAGTTATTAGAAGATCGGTTGACTATAAAACAGCATATATTTCGAAATAAAATAAGTTATTTGGTTAAGAAATATACATTATTAGTATTTAATTTAAATATTGGTAGGTTACTATACTAACTAAATATGTATATATGTAAGTAAGATAATATACTTGTTTTATATTTCAAGTGTTATATTATATTTTTTATAAAGATTAATAATTAAATATATTAATAATATGGTTATTTCTTTGTATTCACCTAAAAATACAAACCATTAATATTACTTAACAATTAAAATGAGTCAACAACAAAGATGTGAGCACAGAAGTGTTTTCATTTATCACTGAAAGAGCACCAATATCTTCTTGAACTATCCTTTTTTTTCTGAGGGGAAAATCATCAAATGACTTCTCCCCAGGGTCGGCGGGAGGGAGTGTCAGACTCTTATTGACTAAAAACCCCCCTGTTCCTTCTTCTGCTCTGGGCCGAGGTCGCGGTGCGCTTACCCCGCAACCCCGGCTGAACATCAGCCCTATCAGGGGCCCCGTCTGTGGTGGTCTATGGGCTCTTTGAGGCGCGCGCGGAACACTACGCGCCGTACGCTCGGGTCTGGTTCTGGTCGGGTGGCGAGCTACCCTTACTCGCCGTCCGCAGACCCGCGTTTACGGTGGCCGGAGATCATCTCTCGATCCCCGACGCCCGGAATGTCGCCTTCTGCGGCGGCTGGGGCGCGAGGAGGATAGTTCCCTCACGCGCTCCGCCTCCTCCTTTGCGAGCATAACTGCTTCGCAGGAGGAGAAGATAACTTCCCAGTTCCTTTCGCTACAAACCATGGCCTCGATTAAGGCCGGGCGCGAGAGGTCGCCGCCGCCGATCACTTCCCTGAGTTCACGGCGGTGTTCAGCCCAGGCAGGGCATACCGCCACCGAATGCTCCACCATATCCTCTAGGTGGTCCTCACAATGACTACACTCGGGCATTTCCTTACGCTGGATCCGAAACAGGAACCTACCGAAGCTGCCGTGCCCGGTAAGCACCTGCGTCAGGCGGAAGGTGAGGACGCCGTGGCGTCTCTCAAGCCACTCCTCAAAGAGAGATCTTACCGCTGCTATTATAGCGTGCCCGGCCCTCGTTCTTGAAGTATCCTAAGATATACTTGAGAAATATCCTTTCCTGTTCCTGTACAGCTGGTGGGCTCGCCCACCAGTAGACTGTATCTTTACATGTGTGCAGTCAAATGCCCCGATCACATTTGGAAAAGAGCTAATTTTGTAGAATTCTGTTTTTATCCTTGTGCAATCTTAATGTTTACAGGGCATAGTAATCGCTGCAGATTCTTTTGTTATTATTCTACAATCCGTAGATTTGTGCACTCTCAGCAACCGTAATTTGAAATGCTCATGTAGCATGGTAATAGCTTATTGTCAGTAGCACCTATTCAAAAGCACTGATAGAATGGTTCCTCAAAGTGAACTGTTTAATATTCGTTTCTAATATGTTAACTAGTAATAGCACAAACGCCTTTGTCCGTTGGTTGGTACCGATTCTTAAATTCCCCTTCATTGTAGAAATCAAACGGATTCATTCTGGTCTTAAATCTTTATCGCTGCTGGATGTGTTGATACTCATATTGCTACTATCCGAAAGAGACATTATCGTAATCTAAAACCATAATCAATGTAAGTTAATCAAGATATCAAATAATTTACACTTACAAAGAAAATGATATTATTACAAATATAATTTCGTAATAAATATTTATGTTTACTTTAAAAAAAATATACTTATTTGAAGAGAAAATGTAGACTCACGTGAAAAATCAGTTGTATTCGTAAGTTAATTCGCCAACAAGCACCGATTAGTTGACCGAGCTTTTGACAGACGAATAATCTATGATCAAGGCTTGACCAGCGTTTCAGAAACCCAAAATTGCGATAATCATTCGATTCTTGAGTTGATTTGACAGCCATGTCAACTGACATGATGGTCAAATTAGTTGATTAATCATGCTTTATGCAACCCAATTGACACTTGACAAGAGATTTAACAGGAGATTAGTTAATTTTAGCGTTGACAAGCCTTTCAGAAACCGGGCGTTAGTCAGATTACTGGCCATAAGTGCACGAAATAAGATTTTGCTTTTAAAAACCATGGCGTTTTAATTATTTATTTATTTATTTATAAAATAAAACAAAATAATATGTATAAAGAATAATGATTTATTTATTAAGGAGAAAAAATAAAACTACGTAATAATTCACTTTTATATTTTTATTATAAAGTGTATTTTATTATGTTTGTGTATGGAAATGTACGTTTCTTTAATATATATTCTGTATAATTGGGTAATAATATGGTAGTACTTTCCATTTGAAGCGGCCTGCTTAAAACAGGTGGTAATGGTGGTGGCTCTGGTGGGCTAACCACTTGAATATAAGGGGCTACTGAATTGTTGTCCGAACCCAATTCCTGCAAGTTTCGTGATAAGTCCTGCACTGTCTGTCTATTTGCCCGCATACAGCATACATGACAAACACAGTTGCTTCTTGAGGTCTGAAAATAAACCCCAGTTAGAATAAACACATGTTTTCAAGTTTTATGTTATTGTACAGTGAGAAGTATTATGTTACAACATGCCTATTTTAAAGAAGTCTATGCAAACATGGAAAATACATAAAGATAGATATTATAATCACACATACCTACTATGAGTACTTTTTTTATAGAATAATGTAGATAAATACAAGTACATATATAAAACAATGAATAAAAAACAACATGCTTACCACATTAATAGTATTTTGCGATATTAGGCCAGCTAGCAATGGAGAGTCCGTACTGACATTATGGTGTCTTATTTTTCGAACCGATTTTCCACAACCAAGGCAAACCATGTTATGCCCCAGTAGTCTCTCATGTTCACCAGCCTCAGTATTCAATAATAAGAAGCGTGGTTGACAAATGAATGTCCCCAGAGGCAACTAAAAAAAAGATGCACTATTTAAAATCGCATACCATGATAAAACATAAAAAACAGACTAAGTATTATATATTCCGACTTCATACCTGGGTTTGAGCTGGTTAACCAACGTGAAAGTTTTGTTTGATGGTGTACAGAAAGCGAGGATATAAGACGCCTCTGCAGCCTTTGTACGCCTATTCCGCAGTTGATGCACCTCATCGTAATCCACAAAACAAATTCAAAACGCAAAACAGTTACTCCAGTATTATTAGCAAGGTTAACAAAAACACGCTGTCAAAAGTGCCAAACACGTTCCGTTTCGTTTAAGTTTTTTTTTTGTGAATTGGATAAAAATAAAACATAACATTATTATAATATGAGTATATTTTAAAATGCAACTAAAACCAATGAATACAGTTTCGTATGAATAAAATGTTCCTAGTGTAATGCATTTGTCGATCATATCACACGTTTTCTACGAGTGTAGTTTAAGACACGTGGTTTGGAATTGGAACGTCTTTTTATGTATCTTTCTCTATGGACTATTATGGCGAAACTTGACAAACGAAGTTGATTTTGTTGCATTACTTTTACATTTTTTTAATAATAATTGTCAGGTCTGGAGAGGCTAAAAACTACGTAATAATTCATATTTCTATTTGTATTTTACAGTGTATTAATTTTGTTCGTGTACGTGGAATGTACTTTTTTGGCCATGTCCTTTCAAAGCAAATCTTTTTTTGTGGGGCATAATAATCAAAAGACTTGGTCAAAAAAAAAAAGTCAAAGTCTTGACTAAAAAGCATCCCCTTCCTTTTCTTCCAGGCGGTACATTATATTGCAGTTGACCGCCTGAACATAAACCCTGTTGGCAAAGCACTCACTTCAATTTTCTTTTTTGAAGTGAATGTGTTTATGAACGTACACATCACACTCCTGGATTTACAATTGGGTAGTTTCCTAGGTCAAAAATAAATTAATTCGACGTTGCAATACAATAAAATATTGAAAAATAATTATACTTTTAGTCATCGATCCATCGATACGCTAAGTTTTACATATTTTTAGCTAATTATTAAGAAATAAGTAAGCTATTTGACGCAAAAATACTATGACGTCATAAGTCAGTTTTTCATACTAATTTCATAGAAAGGTACCATTTTTGACATTGGGATGAAATACTTGGAAACTAGTTTATAATAAAATACCTAAACACTGGAAAGAATTGCCCATATTGAAATTTAAAAAGACAATTCGAAAATTTCTGTTGAAATAAACATATTATAGCATAAATGAATTTTTACATGAAAAACATTTTGTTATATTGTAATCGGGATTGATCATAATAATTTGGAAAGTCTTATGTAACTTCCAAGACGCCTGTTATTATTATTACTTTTTAATTTAATTTGTTAATTATTTTATATATTCTATCTATTAAAAACTTAAATTCTGGCAATCTTCCTTAATGGCAAAGTATGGCTGAACCACTAAAATGTATCTCTATTACCTGTATTGTACCCTTATCTCTATCTCTATCTCTATCTCTATCTCTATCTCTATCTCTATCTCTATCTCTATCTCTATCTCTATCTCTATCTCTATCTCTATCTCTATCTCTATCTCTATCTCTATCTCTATCTCTATCTCTATCTCTATCTCTATCTCTATCTCTATCTCTATCTCTATCTCTATCTCTATCTCTATCTCTATCTCTATCTCTATCTCTATCTCTATCTCTATCTCTATCTCTATCTCTATCTCTATCTCTATCTCTATCTCTATCTCTATCTCTATCTCTATCTCAATCTCTATCTCTATCTCTATCTCTATCTCTATCTCTATCTCTACCTTTACCGGATTGGTGGATTACACAGAGAGTTGTTCCATACGGGAATCAAATCCGCGATACGTTACATAGCAGGCGGTCATCCAGCCAATGCCTTGACCTTGGAGTCAAAAGTCAAATTGTATACAAAACTTCACAATACAAAATAACTTTTAATAATCTATTCGTATATATTTCGTTGACCTCTAAAACTTTATTGCACAAGCTTCAAATTATAATATTATATAGACAAGTTTCGTGTCATAAAATACTACAATTATATAGTTTAACTTTGAAACATTAAAACAATTTAAATTAAAATCTTTTTATAAACAAACTATAATTAGTTGTCAATTAAGTCCCGAGAATACATTTAAATTGATTTATAATAAAATAAAAAGTGAAGCATTTACAGTCATGCAGTCTATAATAAACAAAACTATTTGGATCTTAAAAAAGTTTTTTATACTGTTTCTTTTTTTCTAGCCTACAAGTCCCACTGCTGGGCAAAGGCCTCTCTATCTCGCTTCCACAACTCCCGATTTTTCGACCGTGACCACGAGTCTCTCACAAAAAAAAAATCAATCATTCGACGAAACTTCTAAAAACAGTTCTATTGCTGGTTTTGTGCGATCCAAATGAATTGAAGCAATGTAGAGCTGCCGATGGTTGTTGCGTGCGGTCGACTGTCAATGTAAAACCTCCACGGACAACGGTTGATTGCTCTCCAACTAGTGAATTCCGGATTAAGTGGTTACTTTTGCATGAACGAAACGAACGCGGACACGTAGTAACAAGCTTTTCTATTATGGATTAGATAGAAATGTGTTTTATATGTATAGAGGCTGGATAACATTTAAATCACATTCTAAGCGCAGTTGCGTAAACATTTACCTTTTCAATTATTAAATTTACTCAAATAGTGAGTATATCAACTAGTGGAGCTTTGTATGATAGTTGGTAAGGGTCTGGTGTATGCCAATATATGTATGTACATGACCTGTTTCGTGGAAGCTTATTATGTCATTGAATGCTGATTATGGCAGTGACATTTTAAACTCCCGCTCTTTTGCAAAGCTATTAATATTGGGAAATTGATTGATCATTCGTGAAATGAATAACTGGAATATTACTAAAATAGTCATCATCACAACGCCCTTAAATATTAAATGTACAAAAATAAAATTAATCGACCATTTAATTATGTTGAGCATGCAAACATTCCCGATTTAAAATAGGCGTTCCATTTAACCGTTGATTTACGACGCCTGTGTGCAATGCTAAGTATGTTCCACAATTATTTATATAAGCTTTATCTCACTACTGTTTTATTTCTATCTGTTTTACTGTTAACTAATGGCTTCCTGAACAAACAGGGGAACGTATAAAAACATGCCGTCTCATGTGGAAAGGGGCATCTATAGGGGTAGACTGAATAGGGATGTGATGCGTAACAACTGACATTGACGGGAAAATAGCGGCCAAATGTCAATGTCATTGTCAATTATTGTTATGATCAATTTCGTGTATGCTAATATTTTTCTTAATTTCTTCTAATAGTAAAGGAAGGCAGTTAATATATCTGATATTTTAAACTTTATAGTATTTACTATTACAACTTATATATCAAACCTGGATGCCGAGCGTGGTGATTATGGATTTAAACATTTATATTTTAAATATTTAGTGGAGGCTCATAGACCAGCTTTTGCATTGACCATTGAGCAAGGAATGGCTTATAAAGAAACCAACTTAATCATAGGATGTTTCACATACCACCACAACCATTACCACCGCCTTTACCCTTAAAATTTGGTTCAGCCGGGTTTGTGAATGCAATTGACTAATGTACTGCAGTTCCGATCTGGCGCAGGAGAAGGAACGGGAGTGATTATTAAGAGTCTGACACTACCTTACTACCCAGACACAGGAAGCAATCATTTGATAAATTAACCCCCTCAAAAACAAACCTATAATAATCAAAAATTGAAGCTATCAAGATGTCACCGAACACCTATAAGCTATATTTTTCGACACCCCTTCCCATCCCTAACCGAGACATGACAGTGATCAATGCCAATGTGGGCCCAAGTTCACGTCTTCGAAACATGTCTGGTGGCCATAAATCATACGCGAATAAACACATTTTTGTAGCTTCCTCAGTCGTCTGCGTGATCGATATCATTTGCGATGAAATGTACCGCGCTCACGATGCCGAGACGCGCGACTTTCAATGTTAAGGATAAAGACAGACTTGCTGCTTTGTTTTTTTTTATGTAATAGCTCGGCAAACGAGCATACGGATTACCTGATGGTAAGCAATCAGCGCCGCCCATGGACACTCGTAACGGAGGAGTTACGAGTGCGTTGCCGACCTTTTAGGGATTAGGGATTTGGAGATTTAGGGATTGAGGAGGGATTGGGAAAGGAGAAGGATTGGGCCTCCGGTAACCTCACTCACATTTCACGCTTTGTTATTCTGATCCTAGAATTTGGATCGTTAAGTTGGTACCACTTTCGTACTGATGCCACAGAATCAAAATACAGTGGTCTGTCTTTGTTTTGTAATCATCGTGACAGTAGTTTCACCGCAGAACCAGATTTTATATATGGTGCCCAACAGGGCCGATGCTTAGCCGGAATGCGTGACAAGCGCGTTAACGTACCGCGGGCTCGACTTGCATCAGGAGAAGAAATGGCATGGTTTTAGCCAGTAAGACTCACCCTGGGCGAGAGAAATAATTTCATAACATTCCACCAAAAAAAACAGAATCAGATTGGAGGTTGTAAATAGCCTTACCATAGCATAAGTGGCATTGAGAAAGTCACTCTCATCAGTTTTAATAATAATCATTATGTACATTTAATAAGTGCATTTATTTGTTCCCCTATAAGGGTGCAATTAAAATTTTTGAAACTTGAATAAAACATTTTTATATTTCATTATTATGTCCTGATATTATAATCTGGTTTTGTGCATACCAAAACGCTCCCCAGTTTTCCTAAAATTATGTACAGTGTGTCACGGCCTTAAAGCTCAGTCCTGGCTTTTATCTCACCCTTGAGTATAAAACTTTCAATGTCATTGGTTGGTCATGAAATTGGCGAAGGTCGTGGTACCAATTTGGTTTTACCTTAGTGTAAATTGTCTTTATTTCACAACCTATTGTGTCTATTAATGTTTTCCTTCACCACATCAATATTATCATAGGTCTATAAGTGCCCTCTGCTGAGCAAAGGCCTATAATTATTCTCACATGGAGAAGGTAGGAGCATTAATCACCAACGCTTGATCAAGACGGTGATTCAACATCAGAATTTTAGTATCCTTACTAATATTATACAATCAATCAAATCGCGCCGGAACTACTGAACCGATAGCGTTAAATTTTGCAAAGTAACGTGAAAAGTCAAGATTAAAATATACTGTGTCCATCAGTCTGTGGACAGGATAACGACCGCAGCGTACAGCATGGCAGAAATTAAAAACAAATGAGGATGAACAGCTGTCGATTTTTCTTATTATATATTCATTTACAGTAAAACTATTGAATAAATTATACTTAAATAATGTCAACAATAACATTTTAAACTTTGGTTTCTTATATTTGCAAAGTAAATTATAATGTTAACATTTGACAGCTTCCGCAAATGTTGTAAGCGCTTCGCGTCGCTACCGTCGCGCACATAGCCAATACTGCAACATCAAGTAAATGAAATAGTCCCACAAATGTTACCGGAGCAAAAAACTGTAGCTAAGTTTTTTTATAGTTGTGCTTTATAGCGCAATACAACCAAATTCCACGCGAGAGAAGCCGCGGGCGGAAAGCTAGTAAATTTTAAGTCCCAGGTTTAATCACGAAGTTTTATTTCACCGTATGCCTGTGGTGTCTTAACGAACTTATTAAGTACGATGTGTAATATGACTCGGTAAGTCTCATTGGTAAATACTTGCCAGGTTTCGAACACACCTCTTCATGCATGAGAACCGGGTATTATGGCTTTCGGGCAACAATGACGAAAAATCTCCTTTACATAATAAATAATAACTCGTAAAAAGAAAAACACACAAAAATTACTTGCAGAAAATACATTGTTTTAATCTTACTCTCATAATCCTAGAAATATACAAATGCAATTTTATAGAACATTTTCATGTTTAAGAAGACACTATAGATATATGTACGAGCTCAAATATTAACAGCAGAAGATGCAGTAGTGAGCAGTTTGGTAAATTATAAAAAGAAGTCCTATGGCAATGTAACACAGTATAGGAATAGTTCTAAGGACACAATATACACAATACCCCAAAACATGGCTTATGCATCCCGAAATGGTAAAAGATTTTCGACCTCCATAGCATTCTTTTCGTCCTGAAAAATCAACGAAATTGTTAGTTGATACGAAGGGAAAATTGCTTGTGCTCATACCTAGTCCAAGTTCGCTTGACGTTACTACGATGGACATGGTTATGACGTTCGACGCTTTGATTGGTCTGCTCGAAATTAACCCACCAATCAGAAAGCAGAAACGTTTAGATTTTCTGGTTTTTTTTTTATTAATTGATGTAGCTAATAATTTCTTTTGGTTTTATACTCGTATACAAGGAAAAACTTTGTACATTATTTCACACTTCCTTTATGGGAATCACATATGAGATGACGTGATGGTAATCCGCAGGTAAGCAATTGACGCCGCCCATTGACGGATGCCCATGGGCAACAGAGGAAGAGTTAAGAGTGCGATGTCGATCTTTTAGGAATGAGGGATCTGGAGATTTTGGGATTGGGGAGTCCTCCAATTACCTCACTCACACGGCAAAACGGCGCTGTGGTTGTTTCTATTTAAGCTTTTGGGAACGATCGGGGCTGATGTAATTTTGGAGAGATTTTTTCAAGCACAAATTTGTGTCGTATCCATACAACAGAAATTTGTAAAAATGTTCCGTGATTATGTTTTACAATTCCTGTA